GTTATAAACAAGCCAATCCATTTAAATCCATAAACTTCACAAGTAAATCCATAAGATTTTAGAGTAAATAATATTTTACTAGAATCTATAAGCATTGAATCATAGTAAACTTTAGTTTGTTTTAAAAAATAAATTTGTGTTTACCTTATAAATTCCTTCTAACTGTAATAAAGCCTTTTCTATTTTTTTGATGCATTTTACACAGTGTATATTTGAAACTGTGAATATTTCAGAGGTAATTTTACTTTTCATGCGCATAAAATTATAATTTATTTTTATACCTTTTCATTTTATGCTCTAAAATAGTCAAAAATTATTTTAAAGCATAAAACAAAAGAAAATTTATAAAAAAATTTTTTACTTCTTAACATTTATTCATTCTTTAAGCTCAAATTCTTCATGCTCCACAGTTGCATTCTGATATTGTTGATATTCACTTAACAAATCATTCATGTTAGATTCAGCCTCAGCAAATTCCATTTCATCCATTCCCTCACCTGTGTACCAATGTAAGAAAGCCTTTCTTCTAAACATAACTGAAAATTGGTCTGATATTCTTTTGAATAAATCTTGTATGCTTGTAGAATTTCCAATGAAAGTAGCACTCATTTCTAAACCACTAGGAGGAATGTCACACACAGCTGTTTTTACATTGTTAGGTATCCACTCAACAAAATTTTTGTTATTTTTTGTTTGTACCCCTAACATTTGTTCATCTACGTCTTTCATAGAAATATTTCCCCTGAAAAATGCAGCCACTGTTAAATACCTTCCATTTTAGGATCAGATGCTGCCATCATATTTCTACTGTCAAACATTTGAGATGTTAATTCAGCCACGCTGTAATTTCTGTACTGAGAAGTACTTTTAGCAATTAAAGGAGCAAAACCAACAATGAAGAAATGTAATCTTGGGAAAGGAATCATATTCACAGCTAATTTTCTTAAATCAGCATTTAACTGACCAGGGAACCTTAAACATGTGGTTATTCCACTCATTACGTAAGAAACTAAATTGTTTAAATCACCATAGCCTGGGTTTGTAAGTTTAAGTGTCTTAGAACAAATTTCATGCAATGCTTCATTATCAATGCAAAATGTTTCATCAGCATTTTCTACCAACTGATGGATTGAAAGGGTAGCATTGTAAGGTTCAACAACAGTATCACTTACTTTTGGAGAAGGTACTACTGAAAAAGTACACATCATCCTGTCAGGAAATTCTTCTCTTATTTTAGAAATCAATAAAGTACCCATTCCTGAACCAGTACCACCACCCAATGAATGAGTAATTTGAAATCCTTGTAAACACTCAGCACTCTCTGCTTCTTTTCTTACCACATCCATGACTAAATCAACCAATTCTGCTCCTTCTGTGTAGTGTCCTTTAGCCCAATTATTTCCTGCACCAGATTGACCAAATATAAAGTTATCAGGTCTAAACAAATTACCTAAAGCTCCTTGCTTTACAGTTTCCATTGTTCCTGGTTCTAAGTCAACTAAGACTGCTCTTGGTACATATTTTTTAGATGAAGATTCATTAAAATACACATTAATCCTTTCTAATTGTTCAGGTCTGTTACCTACGTACATACCTTGTTCATTTATTGCATGTTCTTCACTCAACACTTCCCAGAATTTAGATCCTATTTGGTTACCGCACTGCCCTGTTTGTAAATGAATAATTTCACGCATGTGGGGTGGAAAAATATTTTTTTAATAACCTTAGAAAAATAAATTTTAATTATAATTTATTTTTTATTTTAAAAAAAAATCTTAAAAATTTATAAAAATATTAATTTATAAAAATATTAAATTTTAAATGTAATTTATTTATTAAACCTTTTTGACTGTTAAATTTAATTTCTATATCAATATTTTTTTAATTCTTTTTAAAACAGTAAGATTTTAGAATATTTACAAATCAGAATAAAACTATAACATAATAATTTTTGTGTCATTATTAGTACACAGAAATAAGTAAATTTGATATACTTTTTTACCTTGTATATTTTTCCTTGCATATAATTTATAGGTTATAACTAAATCTTTTGTTTGTTTTAAGCGTTATTTGTCTAGTGGTATGATACGTCCCTGCCACGGACGAGGCCCGGGTTCGATTCCCCGGATGACGCATTTTTTTAAAGTTATATTTTATTTTTTCATAACTTCTTTACAAAAAAAATTGATTTAAATTTTCAATTAAAATAATATTTAAATTCTCAATTAAAATAATATTTTTTTCATAAAAAATTATGATTTATTCAAAAAATTTTTCATTAACTCAGTCAATAATTCAACATCTTTTTTAGCAACCATTTCACAACAAGAATGCATTCCTAATAAAAGGAACACCTACATCAACACAAGGCATCCCTAACTTAACACTAATCATAGAACCAATAGTGCCACCACAAGGTACCCCATTTTTTATGCACATAATTTGATATTCACTCTCTAATGAGTTTATAAGAGCTCTGCCATAAACATCTGTGGAATACCCTGAACCAAATTTTAGCACTGTTCCTTTTTTAAAGCTTATTGGATGATTCTTGTCACTTCTTTCTAAATAATTTGGATGATCACAATGACCTGCATCTGCTGATAAGAAAAATGAGTTAGTAAATGAAGAAATATTCAGATCTGAGGCTATTTTTGATATTAAATTGGAGAAAATTGAGCTTTGTGCACCACAAACTGTCTCACTGCCTATTTCTTCGTTATCAAAAATGGCAGTTACACTGACAAATTCATCAGAAACATTTTCTAAAATTGATTTTACTGCACAATAAGTGCTACTTAAATTATCATGCCTCCCAGAAAAAAATAAAATCTTCAGTCTCTGTGATTCTTTCTTCAACCAAAGAAAGATCAAAGCTTAAAGAATCTTTCAGTAAACTTATTACTTCTTTATTTAAAAGCACAGCTTTTAAATGATTTTCCTTGTCAAATACAAAACCATCTTTGTAAATGTCTCTTGCACTGTGTGGTGCTAAACTAGGAATATAAGCTAATTCTTTTAATTCAACAATTTCTTCTTTTTCTTTGTAAATTATTAAACCAGCCAAAGTTAAAGGTCTGTCAAAAAAAGTGTGAAACAATCCACCACCATAAGTCTTTAAATTCAATAATTTTAAATTATCTTGACAGATAAAAGGATTGGGTTTTAATTTCAGTACTGGTGAATCATTGTGAGTACCAATAATCCTAAAATAAGAAGGTAATTTTGGTACTCTTATGATTATTACCATTGTTCTGTAAATGTAATAGTAATTTCCTTCTTCTATTTTTTTATCCAATGAATATTCTTTAAAGTTTCTTTCTTTTAATAATTCTTTTAAGTAATTTGCAGTGTGGTGAGGTGTTAAACATTTTTTTTAAGAATGAAGTGTAATTTAACATTTAAGGGAATAAAAAAATAAAAAATATTTTTAAAAAAATAAATAAATTATGAATTTAAACAAATGTGATTTTTTAAGGTAATTCTCTCTCTTTTTTATACTTTAATGATATAAATTATTAAATCTATAAGATTGAAAAATAAATAAATTTCTTATTTTTTTATTACCCAATGATAAAAAAATCTAAAACTATGTCTTTAAAAAATAAACTTATAATAATTCAATAAAAATAATATTTTTTAATTTATTTTTACTTTCTAAGTTCTGCATTAATGATTATTTTTAGAAAAGAATAAAAAAGATAGTAATACTTGTTATAAAAATATATTATTTTAAAGGAATACTTATATATTAATAATTTTAAAAAATATAATAATTATAATGGTACTGTTGTATTCTGAAGGATATGACCTGAATAATAAGTGTTTAAAATAAATAAGTTAATCTTTTTATTTATTTAAAATTTCTTTTTTTGTTAGACATGGGTATTTTTATTCAAAAAAAATGAAAATTAAGGTATATAACTTTGTGTCTAAAAAGATTATAAATATAATAATGTAAATTTAAAAATATAATTATTTAATTATATTAAATTTAATTCTTTTAAATTTATTTTCTCTTGTCATTCTCCATGTATCCTTTTACAATTAAAAAGGTTGTTTAAATATATTTAAGATCTAAATTAAAATAACACTTAAGTCATATTTTAAATCAAATAATAATTTTTATAAATAATAAGTTTATATTTAAAAGTAACCTTTTTTTAATATAAAATTAAAAAAAATTTATGAATTTATCTATTAAATAAAAATAAATAAAAAATGATTTAAAATTACAAATAATTTATGAATTATTTATTTTTATTTTGTTAAGTGATTTTCATTTAAAATAATATCATTTTAACTAAATCTATGAACTTATTTGTTCTAATATAAAATATTAAATTACATTACTAATATTTTAATATAAAAAATTAATAAAAAATTGTTAAAAGATTTATATCAATTTTTTTGATGTTATTTCAGATTTAAATAAATATGAAAATTAATAAATAAATAATTAATTTTAAGAAATATTAATTTTAATTTATTGATTAATATTTTGTTTATATTTTAAGTAATTTTTTACTGATTTTATCTTTTAAATTTAGAATAAATATTTTTTAAAATTTAATTATTAATTTATTAAAGAAAGGATGGATATTTTATTTAAAGAACTACAAAATGAGTTAATGCATGAAATAAGAAAATTTATGAACGATGAAACAACAACAAAAGAATTAATCACCAAAGCAAAAGAGTTTGACTTGATATTTAAACTAAATGACAATGCTTACTTAGAAAGAATGAAGGAGGAAATATTCAATTTTTATAAAAATGAATATCAGTCTATTTTAGAGGTAGACAGAATGTATAGGAAATATAACCATGGTATTGAAATTGAGGTGGATGTTAATAAACTTATCAGTCAAGCTAAGAGGTTTGGTAGTGTAAGAATATCTCCATATGGGTTGACTAGTGATAAAAATGTAAATTTAAAGGACCTTATCCTAATGAAGAAGAAATAAATGATAATTAAATATTTTAATTTTATCTTAACAGGTCGTATGGTGTAGTGGTTAGCATTTAGGGTTTTGATTCCTACGACATGAGTTCGAATCTCATTATGACCATGTTTTTTTATATAAAAATAAAAATTTTATTTTTTATTTTCAATTTGACATAATTTTGCATAAATTAAAAATTCTAACTCAATAATATCTTCTTTAGTTTGTTCAAGCAATTCTTTTCTCTTAACAATTTTTATAGCATCATTCTCCTTAAAATACACTTCATCATCCTTCAATTCTTCCAACAATGAAACTCTATTTTTACATTCAGCCAACAAACCAAAATACTTTTTTATTTCTTTTTCTTTTATTTTTATGTCCATGAGGGTTATATTTAAAAAAATAATTTATTTATATTTTATTTTTTTTACCCTGTTATGTCAACAAATGAATATATTCTCTCAGAGCATTCTGATAAAATTGTGATTGAAAAAAAGAACAGTGAATTTAAAACCATTATTTTAAAAAATAAAACTGAACAAACCAATAAACCAGTTTCATTCTCATTTTTGGGGTATACGGTGCCATTACTCTATCGAAAGGATCTTACTTGATTTGTGTCACTGAAGCAGAATCATTAGGTGCTTACAACGAAGAATTGGTTTATGAAATAAAAAAAGTTAAATTTGTTAAGTATAAAAGTGGCAACGAAGAAGAAGGCAATTTTGTTAACAAAATATTTGAAGAAAAAAAGGATGCTTATGAAATAGAATTTTTAACAAAATTTTTTAATTTCAAAGGAAATTATTTTTCAGAATCAAATATTTGGGAAAGTAATTTTTTAAAAGACAAAAGATTCTTTTTATTTTTAACCAAAGTTTGTTAAACAATCTTAAAAAAGTGAGTGATGATTACGAAAATTTTTCTTTAAAATGTATTTTTGGTTATTTTGGGTATAAAAATGTAAATGGATTGAATTTTATGATAATTTCTAGAAGAGGAAGACATAGAAATGGGGTAAGATTTTTCAGTAAAGGATGTGACAACAATGGATTTGTTAGTAATTTTGTTGAGACTGAACAAATTTTAGAGCAAGAAGGTAAACATTTTTCATTTGTACAAATAAGAGGATCAATTCCATTAAAATGGAAAAATGAAGTAAAATTAGAATACAACCCAAAATATTTTGTAGAAGAAAACAAAAATTGTTTTAAAATTCAGAAAAACAAATTGAAAAAAAATTATAAAAAAATATTTTATTTAAATCTTACAAAAAAATAATGGGTATGAAAAAGAATTTTTAGTGCTTTTGACAAAGAATTAAAAGAAAATAATTGTGAATATTTACATTTTGATTTGCATAAAGAGATTGGAGAGAAGAAAGAAAATACTTTTTAAAAATTTAGAAGAAAAATGAAAAAATTTTTTGGAGGAAAATGAATATTTTTCTGAGAATCAGGTGCAAAAGGGGGTTGTTAGAACCAATTGTATTGACTCAACTGATAGAACAAATGTGTCTCAGTTTGTTTTAGGAAGAATGATTTTTAAAAATCAGCTTAGTAAATTAAATTTAGAATTTTCTGATGAGTATGACAGTGCTTTAAAAGCATTATGGTTAGAAAATGGGGACACTCTTTCTTTGCAATACACTGGTACTGCTACTTCTTTAGGTCCATTGATTTTTATAGGAAAAAAGAATTTATTTGGTTATTTTAAAGAAGGATTAGTTTCATTACAAAGATATTTTATTAATAGATTTTTACATGGCTCATACCACAATGCTTACTTATTGATAAGCGGAAAAAAGAATTTTTTTGAAGTAAACCCAAAAGAAGTTTTAAGAAAAAACTTTGGTTTATTTTTACTTATTTTTGTGTTTGTTACTTTTTTTAAACTTTTCTTCAATAAATTTAAAAGATATAACTGAGAAAAGTATTAGTTTAAGTATTTCTACTATTTTTATCACATATTTGATTTACACAGCTGATTGTTATTTTGATATACCTGATTATGATTAAGAAATATTATTTTTTATTCTATGAATAAATAAAAAGAAGTTAAATAAATTAATTTATGATTTTAAATAAAATTAATTATTTTTATAATTTTATGATTTAAAAACATTATTTTTTATTTCTTTAAATTTAAAATAAAAAATATTATTTTTCTTTTCTAAAAATATAAAAAAAGTAAATTATTTTATTTTTTTAAAAACATTATTTTATTTTACTAAAAAAGTGTAAATAAAATAAAAAAGTATATTATTTTGTAATTTAAAAATGTAAAATAAAAGTATATTGTTTTATTTTATGATTTAAAATGTAAATAAAATTTATAAGAGTGGTTTTTTTTATTTTACATTTTAAAAAAATAAAATAATATGTTTTTAAATCATAAAAAAATATATTATTATATTTTTTTATAAAAAAATGTAAATAAAATAATTTTTAAGGCTGTCAAAAAAATAATTTTTTAATTTACTTTAATTAATTCTTTTTTATTTTTGAAATAATTGTTATCTTCTGTTATTTGTCTTTTCAATCCACCATCATTCAAAGTAGAAAATGATAAATCAATGTAATGTCCTTCTTGTAAAGAAGAAATACTACCTGACTTCTTTAAAACTGCCTCATCAAAAACATACTTCTTTCATCAGCTAACTTAGGTCCAAACTTAGGACCATCCCAACCAGCCTTAGCTGCATGCCTGCTCAATGCTGCTAAGGTAATCAAAACTTGTTTTAAACTCTTTTGTTCATACAAGTCATTTAACTCAAATATGTCATGGTTAGGCACTCCTAGTTTCTTCACAGCAGAAATAAACTGATTGATATTTTCAATCTGATGGAATGGTAGTTTACCTTTGGGAAATTCTGCAGCTGTTGGGTGTGATTTCGTTTATAAGGTTGCATAAAATTGTACCATCCTTCAAATCAAGGTAAAAGTCATTGATCTCTGTTCCTATCACACTTTTTATCCACTCTTTTGCTTGGTCAAGTTGTTCTTTGTTCTGCCATGGGGTTAAATTTTAAATTTTTATAAATTTATGTTTTTTTATTAAAAAATTTGAATAAAACAAGAAAAATAAAGAAATTATTTCAAAGGGGTATAAACTTTCATTTATTTTTTTAAGAAAAATTATTTAATTTATCTTTTATTATAAATTGAATTTTAATTGTATTTTAAATTGAAATAATAAGTTAAATTTAGGAAATATTAAAAAATAATTAAAATTTTTTAAATAAAAAATTAATTAAATAATATTTTGATATATTTTTGTTAAAATGGCAAATTGATTTTGTATTTAAAAAATTTTTAAAGGATTTTAAGAATAAAAATGAAAAAAATTTAAAATATAAAGCAATTAATTTGAAATTATAAAAGAAGTGACAAAACTTATAGGTTTATTTATTTATGTACTAAGCATCAAATCAATTATATTATAGAACATATTTTACCATATGTTTTTTATGACTAGATATTTATATTTTATAAGGAAGACATAGCAAAAGATCTTCGTATGGTTTTCCAGCTCAATGCAACATAAAAACTATGTTATAATTAACTTAATAATTTAACAGTACATTTGAGATAATAACATTTTAATACCATAATAACATTTCATAGCAATCTTTTAAACAAGGCCTTTAAGCATATTTCAAAAAAATGCATCAAAATAATCCTTTTTTGATGTTAATAAATAAAAATATTTTAATTTTCAGATTTTTTTTACTTTCTCAAAAGTTTTGATTCTACAATATCAAAGTATTTGAAATAATTTATAAAAAAAGAAGTTTTTTTAGAAAGGAAATTAAAAAAATACAATCAAGTTGATATGTTTTTTGGTTTTTGTTTATTAATTTAATAGTACAATAAGTATATTTGAAATTTATTATAATGTCTTAATTTTTTTATGATTATCGGAAGAGATAATTGATTGTTCCTTAAAATGAATAAAACACTTAGCTTCTAAAAGTTTTATTTTTTATAATAAAACAACTTCTTTTACACCTATTTTTTTTTTGCTAAAATATTTTTTAGAATTTATATCTAATTTTTGATTTAATTAATTATTTTAAAAAAAAACTAATGAAAAATTTTACAGCTTTTTCAAAATTTAGTTTTTCCTTTAATATGAAAATTTTTATCTTATATACATTTTATTCGCATAAAAATTATAAAATTTGTCTTTTTTATCTTCAATAACCGAAAAATATCCTTATATTTCTTTTTGTGTAGATTAAAATTTTATTGAAATTTTAAAGCTGATTGTATGAATATATATGTTTTTTATATTTTTAAAAATATCTTTTTATGGTGATTTGCAAATTTAATATTAAATCAAAGTTATTTAAAACCAATCATAGACTTTTAGAGATAAAATTTCAATTACTAAACAAAATGTTCAATGCAGGTTTGAACTATTTAATATTCCATGTTTTTTTTGAAGATATGATTGAAATATAAAAAAAATAATTTTTTAAATGATATTTTTGTAAAATTTTTAATTAACACTGTACAAAACGCATCTAATTTTTATCAAAACTTCAGATAAATTCATCTTATTTATATACGTGCGAAAAATTATATATGTCGTTTCTTTGTTATTTATTAGAACAAACATTATTAGTTTTTAATATTGCTAACGTTTGTCCAATTATGCAAAGTAATCATAATTATAGACTCAGCTGGAAATTTTGTTTACTTTTAATATTGTACATAAAATTGAAAAAAATTATGAAAATATGATAATTCGGTACTGATAAAAATCTTTTTTTGATAATTATATGTTTTACGATAAAAAATGTGTTTCTTTTAAAATAATCGCATTTAAAAACTAAAGCAGATTTCCTTTATTTTTTTTTTTTTTTACCAAACGAACCTAAAAATCTTCATTGATTGATTTTTTTTTGAGTATTTAGTTAAGAAATTTTAACCAAATTTTTTGTTTTCTAAAAATTGTTTATCTGATTAAAACTGTATTAATGGATAAAAAATCATATTTTTAAACACAAAATTGATAATGTTTTTGTGACTCGAATAGTGTGACAACATTGGTTTGATACATTTTGTCTTAAAAATAGTATATGATATACGTTACTTGATATCTTATTGAATATCTTA